ATAGCAATACAACCAAAAGTAGATTTTTATTAGACCTGAAACGTGCAAACCTTATCATGTGACCACTGCTTTGGCAAAAAAAGAGAGGAAAAAATGCAGGAACTTCTACTCCAATTTTTACATCTGTCAGCCTATTATAGCATTCATACTAAAGAAACGAACATCGTGCTTCCAGCCCTATGTACACCATACACGCGTGTTGTTGTAGCTGAGAACGTGAGTCGAAATCGATCCCATACTGACATGGATGCCGAAATGTCGGCAGGCGTCACACGTGAAATATATCGGTAACTCCTCTTTCAATCAAAACATGTAGAAATAATGTAGAAAGCTGAAAATAAAACAAACAATCTTTTTAAATGAAACCGAATATCCCCCGATGTCATTATATTCTTGTCGTGTAGCGATTAGGTTATCGATTCAGCTGTAGGTCTCCATAAATTTGAGTAGGTACGGTAGTCGAATCAAAGGAAAAATATCTTCACATAACATAATAACACAAAAAGAACGCGCAATATTAACTAACAAAACGAACCCCCGTAAAATGTGCTCTATTTTATTTTATTTAATGGCAAATATAATTTTCAAGGAAAATAGTGGATATGTTTAAAGAGAAGAAATAGCTCTATACGTAAATTTAGTTAGGCTTTGTTTATAATATCAACTCAATGTGACTTAAATCCAAAGTAGGCCTATCTGGGTGGAATATTTTTGTTCTTTTTTATTCCAATACTAAATAGGCCTAGGCCTATATGCGCTTTTTATTTAAAGGACAACCAGCATTTGTAAAGATCTTAAAGAGGAGACTAATTTATACTAGCGTAATAAACTCAGTAACATTTAATCCAAGATATCAGGGTTTAGGCCTATTTTTTTTTTAAACAGTTCGTTTGTAGTAGTAGCCTATTGTCCGCTCTGAAGGTGGCTCATTCGTGGTAAGATAACGTTTTTTTATCAATAGCAATAGGCCTACACATTTTCATCTTCCCTACTCAGCCCTGGCTTAAAGGAAGACCTGATATGCATTTACTTTCCGAAGCTTTTCTTATCAACAACGAGTAGGCCTAATGTATACGTAGGACTTCTGAACGAGAGAATCAAACCAGGATAAATTTACTCGCAGAGTAAAACATTTTCTAGGAATTTCAATCAAAATTTTGCTGCTATAATTGGACAGGCCTATAATCAGAATCCAGGAATATTTCTCGACAACACATGTGGAAAATGAAAACTATAGTTGAAGAAATAGCTGTTGCGAAGTTTAGCCAATAATCCAAGTAAGCTTCCGTGTCGGCGATCTATTTCATCGCCGAAACAATCTGATAATCACGATATTTACGCACATTACTTCAGATCAGAGACGCTGGTTATTACTTGTACTCAAGGCTTTACATCTACTATTTGCTTCGATTTAACGCTGGAAGGGAGGGTATTCAAACCTAGAATTATAAGCTCTAAGGGCCTACCGGAGAGTAAAATATGTGCTTGACTAGATCTAACTTAAGAAATTAACAAGTACTCTCTGTGTTCCATTACATATAATCGCTTCCTCCCCGGGCCGTATATTCACATTAAAGTTTCAAATAGGGTAAAGATGTTTAAACATTTTTTTTTAAACCAGGAAATGTCCCACTGTTACAACCAACCTCACAAGGCATTTCACGAAAACATAATTGTAGGCCTAAATGTATTTTCTCTGACAATAGTAATGGTATCGATACCAAGAGATACCGCCTTCCGAAACAAACTGACTGTTTCCCTTTTAGAAAATAAAAAAAATTAAACCAATTTTTTTCGTTCGGTACGATTAAGCCCACCAAAATGGCCAAAACTCAGTGACACAGTTCCATGTATTTCGGAATGTGCCTGATTCGGATTATTTGGTATAGACCTTCATAAAATTGTTACAAATTATTATGTGTGCATTGAAATAAAGCAATAATAATAGAAATACAGATAGAACAGTAAAATATGCACTGACTACCAATAATAATTAGAAATTTAATATTCAGTTTATTTAGACCAGGTGTTGCGAATAAATATAGAGTGTTTAGTAATCTAACACCGGTGAACTAAACTTAACACTATTCCGTAATAAACCTGCCTTGTATAAACTACCGGTACTAGTAATAATTATCATGATCCTTTGTGGCATTAAACATGCGTAAGTACTGGTTTACGAGTTGACACACGACGTGCCCGACTCCGACGACGTTCCGACAAAGGATGCGATAGAGCATCCAATTTACACAGCACTGATTTGGCAATGAAAATATGGTTATGATTAGGAAATAAACTCAAGATGCACCATTACCACGTCTGAATAAAATGAGACCTAACCAATCGAATAATGACATTAAAAATGAAAAGCACGAACCGTACACTAATAAATCAATATAATTATGAGTTGCTCATGATTTCTCGATGCTAGTTTGCGTCACGAAATAACATAGTGATGTTTTGCCCTACCCAAATGCGTTAAAAAAAATGATTAGGGTGGGAATCGAACCCAAGAATTCAAAATAACTAGCCTGGTGTTATAACCACTAGACCACCAAGCTTGCGCTTTGTGACTATAGTATTGAATCCGATCCCAAAGTAGCTGGTTCCGCAATGTTATCTCGATGTGTGTTTTTGGGCGAGGTAAATAACAGGAGTGATGTTTTGTTCTACCACAGATCGAGATAGTCGCAAAACACATCGAGATAGGAGTACCCGCTGCTACACTAGTCACTAAGCGCAAGCTCAGTGGTCTGGTGACACGACACCAGGCTAGTTATCTGGAGGTCGTGGGTTCGCTTCCCACCTGAATCACTTGCGAATTTTTCCGTAAATATTTGGTAACGTACTGAGTATTCAGTAAGGTAGGGCAAGTCATCACTCCTCTTTGCTCATGATCAATTTAAAGTTGAATAATAATATTTTTTAATTGTTAGGCCTATTTTAAATAGTCCAGGCCCATATGCCAACGATGGTTATGAGCATATAGGCCTAGGCCTATTTACAATAGGCCTAACAATTAAAAAATATTATTCAGCTTACATTGATCGCGTGCGATAATGCTCAACATCTATGACAATCAAATATTTAGAGTGATCATCTAAACTTATTTGTAAAATTTCAAAATTGGTTTAAGGCCTTGGAACCCACCCACGAATACCACTGCTGATGAAGATGTTTGGGCTTCTACACAATTTATGTGATTTGCACAGTGAAAGTAAAAACAAAACGGAAGGAAAATATATTCTGATATCATTATATTCTTATCATTTAGCAATGAGTTTATCGATTCAGTTGTAGGCCTTATCAATTCAAGTAGGTAGTTAAATCAAAAAATCCTCCCAGAGTACACAAACACAACGCGCATTATAACGAACAAACGGATAACCTTCATCGAATATATTGCCCTATTATATTTCTGACGATGTAGCTTCAAATTTACATTACGCTGATTTGAAATGGAAATATAGTTCATAATGATATATAAATAAACGCAAAATTATGATAGCTGATAAAAATGAGATCCAATCAATCCATTTTTAGTTTGTGTTGGTACAGTTAGAAGACCTTGATTAGTAATAACTTAGTTGATTAGTAGTAACTGTAATAAAAATAAAAATGAAAAGCACCAAATTAACGATCTCGGTAATGAAAAGAAGGTTAGGGTGGCAACAGTAGGGACATTCACCATTACCGAGATAGCGTACGGCACATACCGTACCGTATTCCTTCCATTTCCCAAAATTAAATTGTTATGGCAGGTTAAAGCTCCATTCACACCCAATCCGAATTTGCGGATCGAAAAGCCTGTCTCTTATACACATCTAGATGTGTATAAGAGACAGCAATAAATTCAAGTTGAATTGTTATTGTTCTCTAAGAACACCTTTTTTCCCAATTACTTTCTTTTTTGGCACACGTAAAGAAAATATCATCGTAGTATATGGTAACTATAAATAATTCTGCTCTTTGCGTTGTATTTTTGGGGGCCGGGGGCTTGTATAATCTCAATAAACTGCCCGTTAGGGGACGATTGATTGATACTGCTTGAATGTTCGTTTTCATTTCACTGAAATAACATCGATCTATCATGTTATTTCAGTGAAATAACATCATTCTATCATGACAACAAAACCCGGTAGATTTCAACAATGTATTTTTACCTAAGGCAGAAACGCGTTCTATGTGAAAATATAATGATCGTAACAAACTTTAGTTACTTTTAGGTTAGTTGAGAAAATTAATTTTGGGGGGTCACCAAACCCCCCCCCCCACCACCCGGCAGTGTTTCTGCTTCCAACGCTTGAGATTATCAGTGAAACCATAGAATATATCAAGTTGCACGGTACGACACAGCCATTCTAGACCGTAATGAGTTGCTTCGTGTAAGAAATCGTGGTGAGATACTGAGACGCAATTGTGTGTTTTTGCTCTTTGCCTACAGCTGTAGTTGATTGCTGCATTGATACGTTTCATGGAGTGCTTGGTATTGTCTTCAAGATTATTCACACCACGCCAGCTGTTTCTGAAATAACCATTCTAACTCAACAAGGACTTAACATTATTAATTACGTAGTTATTATATAGTCAATTATGCGTTGTACATCGTATGTGAATTAGAATAGCGATAATTTGTTACGGTAGCGCGCGTCATCACCATGAGTGCGCCATTACATAGAGCACCGTTAACTACGCGAGTCAGCAGTACGATATTTTAAGGTTAAACTATCTAATAAGGCGACATGGTTTTATTGTCACAATTGGCTACATTCGTAAGAATTAAAATACAATAGTTTAATAATTTACAATAATATTGTTATTAAAGAAAGGTGAAATTTGCTAAAGACCTAAAGGCTTCTGAAATTCTTTCATGCATATCTGTCTTCCATAATAGCACACAGATCAACAATAAACTGAATAGAAAGGAAAAGGTCACGATGAGATGATGATTAAAGGGTAGTGAAGAAATTTATGATGACGATGAAGACAAAACTAAAAGAATGACCATTAGTGATGAGGGTAAAGAGGATGATGATGGTTACGAACGACAATGGTGGTAGTAAGAATGAAGATGTGAGAATGAAATGGTGATAACGGTAATGTGAATGACGATGGTGCGCCTGACGGTCGCCGGCCGACGCGTTTCTATGAAGAACGCAACGCCACGACGCACACACAACGGATCTTTTTTTAACGACGATCAGACTGCCACCGAAAATCAGCAGGCGGCGTCGCGTCGTCTAGCGCTCACAGGGAGTGGGGTTAGATTCGTCGCACGGCGCGTCGTGCGACCGTGGTACGACACAGTGAGTGCCTGACTTCAGTTGACGAAATTGATGAAAATGACAATGGTGATGATGGTAATGAGGATGATATGAAGATGGAGGAATGAAAATGAGAATAATGGAGCTGATGATGACGGTGTTAATGATGGTAGTGAAGCTGACGATAATCGTAATGACAATGACAATGGTGACGATAGCAATGAGAACCGGTACCAACTATTCTCGAATGACGATGGTGATGATGGTAATGAGAATGACGATAGTGGCGATGGTAACGAGAATGACAATGGTGGTGATGGTGATGAGAATGACAATGGGGCGATGATGATGAGAATGACGATGGTGGCGATGGTAATGAGAATGACAATGGTGGTGATGGTAATGAGAATGACGATGGCGGTGATGATGATGGTAATGAGAATGACGATGGTGGTGATGTTGATAGTAATGAGAATGACGATGGTGGCGATGGTAATGAGAATGACGATGGGGATGATAGCAATTAGGATGACGATGGTGATGATGGTAATTAGAATGACGATAGTGACGATAGTAATGAGATTGACGATGGTGATGATGATAGTAATGAAAATAACGACGGTAACGATAATAATGAGAATGACGATGGTGACTTAGGTAATGAGAATGATGATGTTGATGATGGTAATGAGAATGACGATGGTGATAATGGTAATGAGAATGACGATGTTGATGATGGTAATGAGAATGACGATAGTGATGATGGTAATGAGAATGACGATAGTGATGATGGTAATGAGAATGAAGACAGTGATTATGGTAATGAGAATGACGATAGTGATGATGGTATGAGAATGACGATGGGGATGATAGTAATGAGAATGACGATACTGACGATGATAATGATGACGGTAATGAGAAAGACGATATTTACGATAATGAGAATGACGGTTATGATAGTAATGAGAATGGCAATGGTGACGATAGTAATGAGAATGACGATGGTGGTCATAGTAATGAGAATGACGATGGTTGTCATGGTAATGGAAATGAGGATGACGTTATATAATGCTGATAGTTATGAATTTTTTGATCTGACATTATTATTGTCAATGTATAAACGAAAGAATACAAAATCAAAGCCAACCGTAATTTATATATATTATATCAGTAAAGTTAAACTATGTAATGAATGTATAATGAATATCTAAATATTTCTTTTCTTGGCACTCTTATGGCAGGTTAAAGCTCCATTCACACCCAATCCGAATTTGCGGATCGAAAAGCCTACCGAGTCGATCAGAAAATCGAATGAGTGTGTAAGAAAAGGAACGCTGGCATTCAGCACATCGGAAAGGTGGTCCAACATTCGGTTCGGATCCCAAATGAATGCGGCTTAACACATTGACTTACCACTGTCGACGGACTGACTGACTACCATAACATTATATAGGGCCTAGGTTAATTAAAGCCAGACCCACGCAGCGTCGGTGTTGGAAACCGAAGCAATTTATTTCATCATTTCCAACGACGACGATCCGCTCAAACTACTATCGAAGAAGATTGGCGTTGCATCGAGCAAGCGCTGCCAAAGAGGGCGGACGGCTTCGTTAGTCTACGGCCAGACTGTCGTCGCCTTTTGATAAACTATGCTATAAAGAGATGTAAAATAATGAAAACAGTCTAATGCAATGGATACAAGCTTAGGATTCACGTGTTCGCCAAGCATCGTAAACTCTCTCTGGGCATTTGACTGATTCCAAATGTGAACGAGGGTATAACGTTTTAAACAGGATTGATTAACAAATGCTGATGGAATTGCCCCCGAACTCCCCGGAGAAATCAGAATACAGTTTTGTTTTTAATAAATGAATAGAGTAAGAGAGTATTGGTAACACGAACTGCATTACTTGTTAGTCTTAGTTTGGCGATGTGACCATAAACGTGGATTCCAGTATGAATCTATATTCCTATATTTTCACATTTATTGACAATAAACTGTAATACTAGTAAACAGATGCACAACATTGTTACGATTAAGGCGTTTTAATGTTTGGATGTCAAAAGCACGCGGGTGTCTGTGGACTCCTAAAGTGGCTCATCTCGGGTACACGTCACGTTAAGGGGATATCTTATTTTATTATAGGCCTACGTTTCCACAACAGCAATACCAGCAATACATAGTAATTAACACTTTCATTTTTCTTGGGTGGCCCACCCGTCACATATAGGAGCACACTGTATGTTTACATTATTATATTATGTTTCCACCAACTGTGAATCATTGCATTGCCTCTTAAATTTTTGAACTAAAACGCCAGAAATTATAGCTCAGAAAATTTATTTACAAAATAAGGGATGGAGTGCTCTTTTACTTTCATTCTTTCCTGTCAACTCTATGTTGTCATTTATTTGTTACGTAATGTCGTTATAGGCCCTATTTGATGAATACATGATAATTATAAATCATAACGGTATATTAATAGCTGCGATGGCGTGCCGGTGCAAACACAATATGTATACCAAAAATTACATATGTTTACACATCATAAAGGTTCTGCAAGCTAACGAAAATATAACGAATACCGTTACCTCATCAATTATATAGTCTTAAGTCGGATTTCTATTCATATCTGTCCCGGAGTATCTATGTTTTACGAATTTATTTGCTAGCAATAATCTGGTAAATTAACTTGTCATAAATACTATCATCCCAACTGCTATACGAACCGGATCGTTGTTTGCCGAATGCCTAACTACCGACCACAGTCTGCCAAACCCAGTTTGCAGAATAGACCAGCCAATCATAAATATAGGTCTGTTGGACTATTCAATCATTAAACGGTTATCATCAATCATCAGCCTGTCCGTCATCACTTTTAAAAATACAGTATTTCCACCTGCAGCAAGATTCTTAACACTATTAAACATACAACTAGAAGTGGCGGTGTTTTTTACTCATTTGTTGGCAAAGGAAATCGCCATATTTAATCACGTGTAAATATTCAAATGAATAATAGCAGTCGATGGCAATATATAATATTTATAGGCTTATACTAGTTTAGTTTCTTACGTCTCAGAGAGACGAAATTGGTCGCCATAAGGTGAGAATCGTTTGACAATGGTGTCAATCAGTAGCGTAAATCCAATACCAGATATAATTAAAATAAGCCAATCTTTCAATTAACCGAATTTCTCGAAGAATGAAAAAATATATTGGAGTAAGTACACATAATGTGTATGGTGGCGCAGTTGCACTTGGCCTACATTTTAGAACGGCTCGACGCACGCGAATCGGGGCACAACGAATAGACTTAAAATTAGAAATTCATTTCCCTTTGCCAATACATTGTAATAAGCCAATATGAAGTAACAGACATGCAACTACAACACAAACCAGAGATGGGGGTGGGGGTAGGTTTCGAACATGCCGCATCACCCAAAAAATTGAAAAAGATGTGGAGGAATGGAACGAGGATTTCAGATTTCAGTAGAGTGGGATAGGGGAACCCCTAATTCGGGACACCCTATTAAAGAGACACTTTCTCGGCCAAGAAGCGAGTCAAATTATGTAATTAACTAACTCTACGACCAACCCACATGCAGTGGACACCTCTATTAGTGGACACTTTTTGGTACCGTACCAAAAGTATCCCTTTAAAAAGGGGTTCTACTTTATGGGTTTAATAGGAGGATGCTGTCTTAACTTATTTCGACAAATTTACCGACGATGATCCTCGTAATTATCGGAGTGATTCATTTCTGATTTCTAAAAAAATTCTCATTAACGGCAATTAGCAAATTGCTGTGATTGATTGCATTACTGTCTCTGAGGTCAGGACCTATTCTAAGTTGTTGAACTTCGTCCATAGTTCATAGTCGTAAAGTGGTTAAATTTCATGTTCAGAGAAAATGCATAAATCACTCAGTACAGTACATTAGTGATAGCGATTACAAAAAAAGGAATTTCCATCAATATATAAGCATGCTAAGGTTACGGAACCCGATGTGCGTACTCAGTTATCGTTATATAAACATCCCAACAGCATGTGATGCTGCTGCACGGCTCATAGGATCGCGCCGGCCAACCATTAGTAACGCGTGCAATCATGAAATGGCACTAATATACCCTTTATGATGACGGAGTAACGCAATGCGGTAAACGAGCGCGGTTGCGGTTTAAAAAAGCTATAGGCATCAGGCGCGTAACACGCGCTCTCGTGCGACAGTCCACATGGCCCTGACCCAAGCGGGCCCTAAAGTGTCTCCGACAGACCCATGTGGCCACGAGGGGATCCGATCTATAGATGCCCGACGAGGCCCTGAATGCCGGCGGTCAAAATATCACGAGCTAACTACATTCTAAACCCATTCTCGGTCCAAAATGAGCATAAGCCTGTTATAATTTCAATGATTTTTTTTGCCTTGATAATAAAACACGTATTTGATACACTATTTATCTCTAAAATTGATTGCTAGGACCTAAAATCCTAAAATTACTGGCGACCATAACCTTTCCCCTCGAACCCGTACCTAGAATATTGGTGTTTTAGCAACGCCTGCTAGGGTCCCCAGTCTTATTGAGCCACATATCCCCAAGAAGCGTTGCGCCACTGGCAGGCATAATTTAAGAAATAACAGTCTTAGGCCAAATGAACTATTAAAAGAGATTTTCTGACATAGACCTTTAACAGAACAGCACGAATACCTGGAATGTACGCCTACGCTATATTATGTTACACCTATGATAGAGCACATAGGCGACAATTACATACTCAGAAAGGCTACACTGACAGCACTAGAGGCCTAGAGACCAGGTACCATAAAATAAACAATTCAAAAGAACAATTGATATGGGGTCCTTGCAACTAGATCGAAAATAAATGCTATTATATCAAGCTACGATAAGTGTTTTCGTTGATTTCAAACGATGACAGTTGAAAAGTTCAAGTTTCTCCGAGTACATGAATGAATGTGCGTACAAGTGGCTTGTCCTCTGAAAACGGATATTAATATGTTAGGCCTACTCATGTGCAACCATGACACGCATTCTTAAAAACTGTTTTAAGAGTAGCTCGAACTGGCGTCATGATTCATTTTTAATTTATCCCACATTATAATGCTTTACACCCGTTAAGAATTTAAATATCCGGGGATCTGTTACGATAATGCACTCTACTGTATATATTTCTCTCGTGGTACGGTATGCATCCCACTTACTAGCCCACTAACTAGAGTGCTGTTGCGCAGCGCGCGCCGTGTGCTTGTGAAGCACGAATGTGGAAAGACAAAGTCAGTAGGTAGCTAATAGTCTAATTTTCAGACTCAGGGATGGCGAACACGGCGCTTCATAGCAGCCTAATATATGGAGCGGAAGCACTTCGGTTTCTCAACCTCATTCATTCATTCATTCATTCAAATGACATTTATTTTCTTCAAAACCTCACTTGTGTCTCCTTGGACAAGGCACTTTAACCTACGCTTATGTCTCTCCACCCAGGAGTAAAATTAGGTATCTGGTTGAAATAGGCCTACTGGGCTTAAAGTAAAGTTAGAAAGGCGGCGGAAAGGAACTTATCATCCTACCACATAATGTCGACGGTTTACGACGAGCTACTAACAGCTCAGCTAATTCCTCTACGTTCATTAATGAATATAGGACTACCTTACTTACGTATATTGGCCTATATATATGTAA